TATCTGTTCTTGTTATGTTCACTCACTTCATGGTTAATAATAACACAATGAATATTCAACATTATTAGATAACATAATAGTGGCAATCGTAAGAGATTCCTTTTATTGAGGACTTACTGGGTGCTGGGTGCTCTGCTGAATCTGTCTAAGACATCATCTCCTTTAACCCTCTTCGCAGCCTCCTGAATGGGAATTGCTGCCTCTGTTTCTCAAAGGAGGAAACTGAGGCTTGGAGAGGCTGAGCACGTATTCACTACAGGTCTGTTCTGTACCAGGCCCTGTGGATGTGGAAACGAGTCATCAAGACATGGTCCCTGGCTTTGAGGGGCTCACAGTCTACAAGAGGGAGAAGGATAGGACAACCATCAAACACCTTAGCACTTGGGTAGAAATCTGTGTGGAATCTGAAAAAAAACATGACATGCAAAGCCAGTGTGCCCAGGGGCCCTTTCGGAGAGACTTCCCAGAGGGACAGTGGCACTGGGGCCAGTTTGTGGGAGGGCCTGTGCCCGCTGAGGGGCCTGGGGTTTGTCATCTGGGCCCCAGGGCTCAGGAGTGTGACCTGGTCTGTTTTAGAACAGCCCATCTGGCACAGCCAAGAGGAACAAGGCCCTGTGGACGGTTGCTAACCTGAACGAAAAAGCAGGTAAGTACATTCTTCAGACATACAGCGCCTCCCACAGATCCACAGCCTCACGTGAACCCTGAGTCTAACTCTAGGTGCCCCCCTTGGAAAATATGGCCCAGGAACAGAGGAAGGAGTGATAGGGAAGGAGCTCAGGTTTTGGCACCGGAAGCTTCTGAGCTCTGCATCCCTGCCCTGCTCCTTGACAGATGCAGGACCGTGTGTTCAGTAGTTGTGTGACTTGACCTTCCTGGACTTGCTTTCCTGAGTGCAGAAGCGGGATGCCTACCTAGCAGGGTGGCTGTGATGGTTAAAGGAGATGACTTATGCAGAGTTCCTGGCACAGTGGATTTCACTTGGTAATTGCCACCAGCAGTTCTTGTTGTGATAAGGCATGCCCTGCTCCTGAAACCAGGGGACATTGAGTCCCTACCATGGACAAAGCAGCATACGGTGCAGAAAGCAGAACACTCTCCCCTCCCCCAGCCATAATCTATTCTCTTTATTTTTTAAATAATTTATTTTTGCTGTTGTTGAGAATAGACACAGCAAAACATACACCATCTCAGCAGTTTCTCCAGGGCAAGTTCAGGGACACTGATGACATTCTGTGAGTTGTGCAACCGTTCGTGCACTCCTTGTCCGAGCTGTTCCTCCCCCGTTAGTGTAAACTCCCTGCCCCCTAAGATTCCTAACTACTTTTGAGTTGCTGTTGTCACTCTGATCCCCTATAGACAGATCTTAAAAGAGCACAGTGCTCAGGCAGACATACTATTCACTATTCTATACTAAAAAAACCAAACGCACTGCCGTCGAGTTGATCTGATTCATAGCAACTCCTCCTAGGTTTCTGAGGCGGTATCTCTGCAGAAGTAGATTGCCCAGTCTTCCTTCTGAGGAATGGCTGGTGGGTTTGCACTGCCAGGCTTTTGGTTAGCAATCAAGTGCCTTAGGCACTATGCCACCAGAGTTCCCGTTCTAAACTAGTAAAGCTCAACTATTGTTTGGTTTTAGGCAGACTTCAGGGGTATTTTTGGTTTAAAGTTTAAAGATTATCTCAGGGCAATAGTTTCAGGGGTTCATCCAGCCTCAATGGCTCCATAAAGTCTGGATTCCATGAGCATTTGGAATTTTGTTCTGCATTTCCTCCCTTTTGGTCAAGATTCTTCTATGGAATCTTTGATCAAAATGTTCCGTAATGGTAGCCAAGCACCCAGTTCTTCTGGTCTTATGACAAAAGAGGCAGTTGTTCATGGAGGCAATCAGCCGCATATCCATTTCCTCCTCCTGTTCTTGACTGTCCTTCCTCTGTTGTTCCAGGTGAGTAGATATTAATTGTTGTACCTTGGATGGCCACTGCAAGCCGTCCCAGGCACTGTGCAACCAATCACGAGGTAGAACAGAAGCACTAAACACGTTCTTAGGCCAGTTAACTGGGATGTTCCATGAAACCATGACCCTAAACCTCCAAACTAAGAACCCAAATCCCAGGAGGGGTCTTGTTGTACATAAACAGCCTTAGCAGCTACTCTTTGCTTTTTTTCCCCACAACCAGCTCTTCATCTGCAGCTCCTCTAAGGAGCCAATGCCCCTCCTATCTCTAGGCTGATTACTTTTTCTATGTTTGAAAAGCTTTTCCTTTCTCCTTTCTCCTCCCCATTAACTCCCAACATCAGTAATACTGCTTCTCCTACAGGACCCCCTTAGAGTCTCCTCCATGACACACCTCCACCAAGGTTGGCACGTAGGTCCTCCTGTGTGCTCCCAGGGCATTTCATGCACCTCCGTGGTGGGAGCAGTTATAAACCAGTTGCCACTGCATCAGTTCTGACTCATGGTTGTCCCCTCTGTGTCGGAGTAGAACTCTGGATTTTCAATGGTTGAATTTTTGGAAATAGACCATCAGACATTTCTTCAGAGACAGCTCTGGGCAGACTCGAACCGCCACCCTTTCAGTCAGCAGCCAGGCACATGAACCTTCTGCACCACTGAGGAACGACTAGGAAGGGGCTCTGGTGGTGTAGTGGCTAAGGCATTTGACCGCTAAGCAAAAAAGTTTAGTGGTTCAAGCCCACCAGCTGCACCACGGAAGAAAGATGAGGCAGTCTGCTTCTGTAAAGATTTACAGCCTTGGGACATTTGTATGTGCTGTAAGAATGTCCAAGTATGTAATAGAGCTAACAAGGGCCAAAGTTATGATAACTTCTTGGCCACAGCCAACCACCTTGAGGGAGCGAGTAGTTGGACCTGTGGGCTCAGGACCATGGTTACAGGGGACATCAAGTTCAGTTGGCATAACATACTACCCAAAACATTGTTCCACATCCTACTTTGGTGATTAGCAAGCAACTGGGGTCTTGAGAGCTTGCAAGCAGCCATCTACATGCAATGATGGATCTCTCCTTGTCCAGAGCAAAGAAGAATGGAGAAACCAAAGACTCATGGAAAAAAATTTGTCCAGAGGACTGGTACACCATGCGATCCTCAGCCTATATGACCATGAGACCAGAAGAACTAGATGGTGCCCAGCTACCACTGTCAGCCACTCGGAGAGGGATGCATGCAGGAGATCCTAGATAGAGTGGTAAAACAATGTGGAAAAAACTCAAAAATGATTAAAAAAAAAAAAAAAAAAAAAAGTTTAC